GAAAGACGAATTTTTAAAGCAGTAAGTTTTTGACCAATATGTAAAACTGCTTTTTTAAGAGCATTAACTTTACTTTCTAACTTTTTATTTATTGCTTCCTGAGTTGCTAAAGCCAAGGATATATTTTTTGATAAATTGTTAGCATATTATGCTGTTTGTACTTTTTTTACTAAAGCATATGTTGCAACAGAAAAAGAACTTAATATTTTTATCAGGGCGGAAATTCCCAAAACCAAAGTAGCCACAAATTTTTTTGGCCGTATAAGCTTTTTAACCTGTCTTACAATTTTTGCCCCTATATTTATATACCAAGATTCATTAAGTGCTACTGGCAGCATAATATAAGCTGGTTTTTTTAATACCATTATGGTTGATACATTTATTTTAGGAACAATGCAAGTGGTTAGTATGCATTGCTGACAGGTAATATAAAACCTTATATTATACTGCTTAATTTGTAACTTTTTACTATTATTAGAAAGTAATAAGGAATACGGAGATGACACACAGGTTTGAACATTATATTTTTTTCTTTGGGTAGTGGCTTTAACTAGCGTTATTTTATAAGTGGTTAAGGGCAGTCTCCATAACTGAGATTGATAATAGGTTTTATTTTTATAAACAAAAGTATAAATAGGAGCCACCCATCCATGACTATTCCATCTATTTACCTTTAATGGCTGGGGAATATAGGAATCATTTTATGGATATTTTAAGGCATTTTTCAAATATGTTTTATAATCTTCATTAAAACCATTATCAGGATTTTTAATACTTCAATTGGAAATATAATATTTAGTTCCAGGAATGAATATTTTATTTTTTTTATTATACATACAATATATCCATGAAGGATATCCAGTTTTAATATTTTTTTAAGTCCATTTAATTGTAGCCTTCCCCGCAGCCTCATTACAATTATTATATTTAGGAGGATGAATATCTTTAGCTGGATATTTATTAGCATAAACTTGATGTTGTCCTACAACCTTTCCTAGCAATGACCATAAGTATTTTGTAGTTTTATCTTTTCCTTTTGACCTTTTAGGGGAATTTGTTAAAAAACCCGTATTAACTACTGACAAACACCCATTCTTAGCTTGGCCACTCTCCAGTACCCCTGAGCCAAGAAAAAAGCATATTGGAGGAAAATCAATCTGACCTGTAAATGAGTAATTAAAATTAATTACAAATTGTTTATAGCCCTGTATTTCTCGAATGCCATCGGTCAATTCAGGAAGTGAGGAAGTTACTGGAATAATAGAATTTCTTCAAGTACATGCATGTAAAATTGGAGGATCTGGAAAATAAGCCCCATACGTACCATTGGCACTTACCTGAACCGAAAGCAAACTAAGCATAGCCACAAAAAAATTAGCAGTCGTTAAAGGCAATCCTTGAGCATTCACAGCATTTTTAGCATTCAGGCAAAGCCTTTTAATTGCCCCCCAGGTTATTGGAGCCGCTTTAGTGGTGGAGACAGCGTACCTTCTCTTTCGTGAACGGGGAGGCAATGAAGGCTTTCTCTCTGAAAATTCTGGAGAAGCTTGTACTTCTTTATTACAAGATGATATAAGTAACAGTTGTTTTATTTGGGGGACTAACGTCGCATTTACAAGACTATCTGGTTTTACTTTCTGTGGATGTGGCTTCGCCATTTCGGCAGTGAAATTTTTTTTTTAAAAGACGCTTCGATAAGTTCCCCACCTTAGGGTGTCTGATTAATCGATCAGGAATCCAAATTGGTGAATTAAAATTCTGGGGAAAAATACAAGCGTATTCTTTACCACTAGTTAATAATGTATCTGGCCCGTTCCATTTTCCTGTTAAAACATCCTTCCATAATACCTTTGGTTTTATATTTTCTTTATTTATTTCCCAATGTCTCAACATAGGAGTTCTTTTTTTATTATTTATATTTAAGTAATTTAATACAAACATAGAATGATTAAGTAAATGATGAGGAGAAAAATATTTTAAATCTTTATATTGCAATTTATAAATTATATTTTTTAATATCTGATTAGTTTTTTTAATTATAGCTTGTCCTTGTGGATTATAAGGAATTCCTGTACTATGGGCTATGCCAAACTGTTGGCATAATTGCTGAAAAGATTTAGAAACATAAGCAGGGCCATTATCAGTTTTTAACTTTTGGGGAATTCCCAAATAACTAAAACAAAACATCAAGTGCTGGCACACATCCTTAAAGGCCTTTCCGGTCCTAGCTGAGGCTACAATTACATGTGAAAAGGTATTTACACAGACATGTACATAGGACAGCTTTCCAAAACTAGGTACATGAGTCACATCCATTTGCCACAGATTATTAGCTCGCAAACCTTGAGGATTTACTCCTTGCTGAGGTACATTAGTTTGTGTAGGGCACACAGAGCAATTTTTTACTATTTTTTTTGCTGCTTCTCTGGTTAGGCTAAACTGATATCTTAAGGCATTAGCATTTTGATGATGCAGCTGATGAGATTTTATTGCTTTTTGTACTTTATTTTTATCTACCATAAAAATTTTAGTCAGGGCATCAGCAGAGGCATTGCCCTCTGCTAAAGGCCCTGGCAATTCAGAGTGAGCTCTAATGTGGCCTATATAATAAGGCTGTGTTCTTTTCCATATACTTTTTTGTAATCTCTTAAGCAACTTAATTATTGTACTCTTATTTTCAGGAAAGGCTGCTGTTTTTATTGCTGGAAATAATTTAACTATATATAAGGAATCAGTATATAAATTAATTTTTTTATTCCTGGTTAATTTTATTACTTTTATAACTGCCATAATTTCTGATTGTTGTGCTGAGCAATTTTCTGTATTTAATACTTTTTTTTCATTATTAATAATATAGGCTGCCCTCCCTGAGGAGGATCCATTAGTAAATACCAATATGGCCTCTTCCAAAGGTTTTATTTTGTAATATGTAGGAAAAACCACCATATGTTCCTTAAAAAACTGTAACAATACACTTTTAGGCAAATGAAATAAAATTTGACCTCCAAAGGAGGCTAGGGCTATTTTTAATGAATTTTTTAACAACAGCAAGGCCTTTAATTGATTTTTATTATAAGGTATAATTATGTTATCCATATTTTTTTCAAATAATTTTTTACTTTTTTTTCTACCTTTAATAATTAATAAACTAACCATAAGAGGATATGAGGCAACAATTTTTTTTGGACTAGCAGCCAAATGTATTCATTTTAATGGTCCATTTTGCCATAATAATTCTGTAGGAATAACTGGAGTTTTTAAAATAATTAAATCCCAAGGTTTAGTATAATCTTTTAATAAAAACATTTTTTAAAGCTTTTTTTATTTTTTTTATGGCTTGTTTTCCTTCTGCAGTTAACTTTCTAGGGGATAAGGGATTAGAATCTCCTTGTAATATCAAAAACAAAGGTTTTAATTCCACAGTAGTAATTTTTAACAAAGGCCTTATCCAATTTATATCTTCTAAAAACTTTTGAAAATTATTTAAAGTAACCAAATGATCAGTTTTTAGCTGAAAAGGTATATGCTGAATGGAAAATTCCTGTATTAATCTGCCCAAATAATTATAAGGAGGCTCAGTTTGAATTTTCTCTGGAGCAACTTTTAATCCATACTCCTGTAAAGCTTCCATTATATCCTGCAATGCCTGATGTAAGTAGGCCTTATCTTTATGGGCCAATAATATATTATCCATATAATGTATTAAATATATTTTTTTATATTTTTGTCTTATATTACATATGGCTTGGTCTACATATTTCTGACATAAGGTAGGGCTATTTTTTATGCCCTGCGGCAAAACTTTCCACTGATATTGTTGGTATGGTCTGGTAAAATTAGGAGAGGGCACACTAAACGCAAACCTCTTTCTGTCCTCTTTATGTAAGGGGATCGTAAAAAAGCAATCTTGCAAGTCTATAACTATAATAGCATAATTTTCAGGGATGGCTACTGGAGAGGGAAGTCCAGGCTGTAAAGCCCCCATTGTTTCCATGGTTTTATTTATTGCTTTAAGATCTTGTAATAATCTTTATTTTCCCAATTTTTTTTTTATAACAAATATAGGAGTATTCCAAGGACTATTAGAGGGTTTAATATGTCCTGCCAATAATTGCTGTTTCACTAATTCTTTTGCAGCTGCTAATTTTTTAAAAGTTAGGGGCCATTGTTCTACCCATATAGGTTCCTTTGAAAGCCACACTATAGGGTCAGCTGCTTTTAAAACAATGGCCCCCGTTATAAATTTGGATAGCCCACTCCATGTTTATCATTTTTGGGCTTAGCAACCACAGGATATAATCTTTCCTTCTGATTTTTTCCTAAACCTTTATTTGGGTCATATCCCATTTTTAACATTTGTGAGGAGACCCAGTCATCTGGACTATACAGGAGCATTCCCATTTGCGTAAGTATGTCTCTGCCCCAAAGGGAAATTGGCAGGCCAGGTATTACATAAGGACAAAAGGAGCCTGCTTGTCTATTGGTAGTATTCTCCCAAGTTAAAATCTGGGCACTCTTAGCTACTGCTGGAGCAGTTCCCAGACCTGTTAACATATTGTCAGCATGTTGGGTGGGCCAGCTGCTAGGCCAATCTTTTCCTGCTATGCAGGAAGCATTTGCACCTGTATCTAGTAAACCTTGAATATTTTTTTTATTAATTTTTAAAGGTCTACTTTTGCTAATTTCTTGAACCCAAAATGCCATATCACTGGAACCAAATCCTTTTTCATTCCTAGCTTCTTGAATTACATTCTTTCCTGTCTTATAATATGGTAGCAATAACAATTGGGCTATTTTTTGTTCTACATATATTTGTTGTGTCTTGTTAGAGGGAGCCACCATTATCTGAATTTCTCCTGTATAATCAGAATCAATTACTCCAGGCAAAATGGTTAAGCCAGATAAGGAAGTTGAACTCCTACCAATAATTAAACCCATTACTCCTGGGGGCAATGGACCTTTAATCCCAGTTGGTATTTTTATGACTGGAGAGTCAGGAGTTAGTATTGTTGCCGAGGCGGCACAGAGGTCCAATCCTGCGCTGCCTGGGGTGGCCCTGAACAATTCATTGATTCCCCTGAGGGAAGAAAGGGATTGAGCGTCTGGTGAATTGCCCCTATTGTTTGTTGGGCCCGGGGTTGGGCCCGAAGTAAGTTTCCCGAATTAGTTCCAGCAGGTGTATCTGGAAAAACAGGTGCAGGAAATATTGGCATTTGAGCTCCAGCCTGAGGCACTGTAGAAACCCCATTAGGGGGAAGAATGTGTCCGTCCTTGTGATATTTACTCTTACACAATTTAGTCCAATGATTTCCTTTCCCACATCTTTGGCAAGGAGTCTTTGGGACCCCAACATTACCAGGAGATATCATTCTAATAGGACCTGCTGGAGGTATATTTTTATTAGGACATTCTTTACTAAAATGACCTGCGCCTCCACAAGCAAAACAATTATTTCCTTTTGGTCCCCTAGGGTTTTTTGTTTTTTGAACCATATTCATCATACATTGAGGAAGTGTTTCTCCCTTAAGAGCGGCTGCCAAAGCAATCCCTTGCATATAAGAGGGACCCACGTCAGAACATTGTTTAATAAAATCTAAGATGCTACCAGTTTTTTTAATTGGCCGAATCAAGTTTTGACAAACAGGATTGGCATTTTCAAAGGCCAATTGTTTAGCTAATATATTAGCTGCATCCTCATCAGTTATTACCCTTTTTATCTCTATTAGCAAGCGAGAAACAAAATCCTCATATGACTCCTCAGGCTTTTGTCTTAAATCTGTCAAAGTGGAGGCCTTCCCTGGAGTCAAAGGCAAAGACTTCCAGGCATTTATAGCACATGTAGTTACCTGCCATAAGGCTTCCTTTCCCATATGCATCTGCTGTTGAGCTGTATCATATTCTCCCTGGCCCAATAACATATCTTTAGTAATATTAAATTTATCCCTCTTCTTATTTAAAACATGTTGTTTATCTACCCATTCTTCATATTCTGTTTTCCAAAGCAGATATTGCCCTCCAGACAAACAAGCCTTTGCAACCTGAATCCAGTCATATGGAGTCATCCATTTATTTGCCAAGGCGTTTATAAAAGTCATAGTATAAGGCGCCAATGGTCCATAATTTACACAAGCCTTTTTAAGTTCTTTTAAAAGTTTTAAAGGCAAAGGATCCCAATATGGCTCATCATCAAAATCATCCTCAAAAATAACCGGAAAGCAGGCTGCAAAAGCATAATCATTATCTTCATTATTTATTCTCCTATGCCTTTTATATTCGCCTTGACCTTTATTAAAAGGTGGTGGAGGTGGTAGGCCACGCGAAAGGTCCTTGGTATTTGAACGCCCTGACCTTTGTAAAGGGAGAAATGAAGAACGTAAAGGTGCTGGTGGGGCGGTCGGTAGACGACCCAAAGGGCGTATATCCTGTAAGTTAGGCCTACTTTTTTTAGTTTCTTGTAATGCAAAAGCACCATGGGGTTCATATTTCCTTCTTTTATAATTATAGGCAGCAGCATCTAAATCATCCTGATCTGCAGGAGACAATTGATCATCAAAAGGAGGTGAATCATCATCCTCCTCTGAATTATTATTATTAAGGTTACAATTTTTTAAAGCTGCAGCCAAAACTTCAGTTTCTTTTGATGTTTTTGGGGAAAGTAACGGAGTACATTCATTTATCGCTTCTGCAGGATATTTATATGAATTTTTTTGACCTTCAGGCAAAGGAGCAATGCTCTCTCTTATAAGGTTCCATAAAGTAAAAGTATCTACTGGAACCTTCTCAGGTCCATGCTGGCTGTAATAATCTTGCAAAGTTTGCCCCACCTTTTGCCAGGTTTCTATATTAACTGTTCCTTGTTCTGGAAACCATGGGCATTGCTCCTGTACGAATTGAAAAAACTGAGTTAATTGCTTATTAGTTACCTTAATTTCTCTTCCATTTATCATATGTTTAACTATATCAATGAATAAGAGCCTCTCTTTGGACTCAGCATGTCCCATTTTGACACCGCCTTACTCACCTCCCTAACCAGTATTCCTTAACTGGGGGTCTGCAGCACCCTACGGTGAGACTCCTATCCGTCTGAGAAAGAAATAATACTTACCCCTTCAAGTCCCTGTTCGGGCGCCACTTGCCGGGGACCAGCCCCAGCTGGACAGGTTTCACCCAAAGGGGAGACGGAGTCGGCGTGGACAGAGCACAAGACACCTC